TCAGCAATTAGTTTTCAATACCCCTAACCTAGGTTTTCAGACATCAAGCTGTAAAGTTCTCACAGAGCTGATGTTAGAATTACACGAATTAGTACACTTTAAGTTGGTAGAATAAATATTCTTGTACTTAGTATATATTCAATAAAATCTGGTTGTAAACTTCAATGATAAACACTGCTCAAGTACCAGATAGCCTCATTCCTGTGATTGACAGAGCAGGACTCTGCTTAAGAAGAGACACCACAGCAGATGTGGCAAATGGCCAGTGAAGTGAAATACTTAATGGGGTCAGCAAAAACCAAATAACTTCTCTGGAGCCATATCCTCCAGATTTACATCAACCAGACAAGGAAGAAATGGAAAACACAAACACAAATACATGGATGATGTGGAATAATTACCCAAAATAAATGATAAACTAGATAAAAACAACTATATCTAACAAATCAAATATATCCATCAAGAGACATATGATCACTCAGGAAAAATAAAGGGAGTTTCTTTTATACACATATGAACCATATAAGTGAATTTATGTCTTTTGTATACCTGGACCTATTTGTAAGGCAATGAAATAAATTTTATGCATGTTTGATTTTTGTCCAATCATTCTATGTTAATGTAAGTGCTAAAGACCATCAACAATCACAGATCAGTATTTATCAATTATGATTTTAAAAATAAATTTATAGACTTTTCTGACTTTATTAATAAAATGTGAGATTTAGACAAAATATAAAGAAGAAAATTTAAACTACTAATTTTTCTACCAATCAGTATTTTAATGAATAAGTATTATAAGAATGTACTCCAAATTTTTATTGACATATACTTTTTTGGTTGGGTTTTTTTGTTGTTGTTTTGTTTTGTTTTGGCACTAGGGATCGAACTCGGGTGATGTATACCTTTTAAAGTCATGACATCTAAATTACTGTATTTTGCTTTTCTATTTTCCATTATGCCTTGCACATTTTTTCTAGGAATTACTTAATAAAAATTTATTTACACATCATATTAATGCCTATATAAATAAAAAATTATTAACCTTTTCTTATTAAAATGTATTGAGGTATATCTTTAAATATTGGACATTTACCTTATTTTCGATTTTTCATTATGAACAATGATGCTATAATAAGTTCCTTTAACCTAAATCATTTGACATGTCATATTTTGGACTAAGCCTTAATGAGATATATTTTACATTCTTATTTCCAAATTGTTTCTGAAAATAATTGTGTAAATTTAAACTTTCACAATCAGTATAAGAAAACATTTATCAAAAAGCTAATAGTGAATAATATCCTTTTTTTGAGAAAACATCTCTGCATATTTCATTGGTCATTTTCCTAGTTATCTACCCACTAATTCATTCACTCAACACAATCTTAGTGAGCACCTGTTCTGTGCTGGGCACTATTCTAGGTGTGGGATTGTAGCCATAAAAAGAGCTCCAGCCTCATGGAAAGCTAGTGTAGTAAAGGGGCCAGATATAACAGGAGTGGTACTGAGGAGGTCATAGTTGTGTTATTTAAAAAGCACTTTCTGCAGTGACCAACCAGGCTAGTTTACTTAGGACTACCCTCATAAAATCTCACATCCTGGAGAAAGCTTTAGTTCCAGACAAACTGGAAGGGTGGCTGTTCTACCTCTGCCCAAGAAGTCTTGCAAAAACTGGACATGGAAGCCTTTGGGAAAAAGAGGCTGAGGCAGTAGGTGAAAACAAAACAAAACAACACAAAACAGCCATTAAGGGATCTGTAGTGGAAGAGGCCCATTGGTGCATTTTAGGATATTCTCGGAAATTATCCCTGCAGTAATAAACGGCCATTTTTAAACATTCCTGACAATGAGAGAAGCCAATATCAGATTACATGTGCCTGTCAATTGGACTTTTTGTTCCCCTTCATGACTGAGTGACTTGAAGGATTCTATTATTTAGAAGTAGTTGAATAAATGATGAGATCTACATCCTCAGGAAGATATCTAAATACATAGAAGAAGAGGACTAACACGGTTGGGATGACAGAATGAAAATATAAAACTGATTTGCCCAGCCTCTGTCAGTGTCACTGTTACAACATGATGAGAGAGGAATGCGGGCCTTGCCAGTTTCGTCCCCCTGGGAAGGAGCCAATTTTCACAGGTCCTTTTGCCAACTTCTAGCTCTTCTTTCTAGCTTTTAAATTTAGTGTTTAGGGCTATCTTAGATTCTTTGTTGATTCTTCTAGAAATAATGCTATTTCAGTTGTCAATTTTTTTTTTTTTTTTTTTTTTTGGTACAGGGGATCAAACTCAGGCCCTTGCACTTGTGAGGCAGGCGGCAGAGCCACTGAGCCAAATCCCAGCCCAGTTGCTAAAATCTGATAGTATATGTTTTTGAAAATTTTCATAAGTTCTCAACATTAAGCTGATTAGACTTTCAGTGGAGATTCTATGAAAGTACACTCATGGGCAGGTGCAGATAGGAGGCGACAAGGGAATGGACCGCTTACAAATAGGAAAGAGTCTAGGAAAATAAAGGTAAAGAGAGAGGAAAAGGGGAAGAGAAAATAATTAGAATAAAGATATGCTATGTAGAAAAAGATGATAACCTCAGTGAATGTAAAATTCATGTGTCATCAACATACAATAAGATTAATAGTATTAAGAATGATAATGGGGAAAGGTGACTTAGAGGAGGGAGGGAAGTGAGAGGGAAGGGGAATGGGATTAAAAACGAAACAAGTTGTACTATGTACATATATCTACTCACCAAGGTGACTTTCAATATCATGTACTGCAAACATGTACTAATAAAAATAAAATTAAAAAATCTTGCTAGACTGTTTGAGTTGACATGATGTCTTTGATACTTGTAATCTATGTGGTCATGAGCAAATTTAAGGCTCAGTTTCCTCATTTATAAAATAAGGCTAACAATCATACCTAATTTAGAAATGTAGTAAGCATTTTAATGAATTAATTAATGTAAAACACTTAGGTTTGGTAAATGTTATGTGTCTGCTGTTTTTATTTTTATTATGATGTGTTTGCAATAAATAATAATCACATTCTTTATGGGGAGTTGGTACATATGCATAACACATCTTAATTCTTTTTTTACCCCTTCCCTCTTCTCTCCCCTTTTCCTTCATCTCTTGATCCCTTTCCCATTTGAAAAAGCTCTACTTCCTATTATCTTTTACTTTGCCCCTTATTTATCTTTTGAGTTCCTCACATAAGAGTAATCATGTGATATGTAAGCTTGTCTGTCTGATTTATTTCACTTTGTGGTCTCCAGGTCTGTCTATTTTCCTACAAATGACTCAAGTTTATTTTTCTTTGTGGTAGAACAGTACTCTTTTGTGTGTAAATAACACATTTTCTTTATCCCTTTATTTGTTGATGGACATATAGGCTGCTTCCAAGATTTAGCTATCACAAATTGTGCTACAGTAAACATGGGTGTGCATATACCACTGTAATATGATGCTTTAAACTCTTTTAGGAAGATATCTAGATGGGGAATAGCTGGGTTAAATGGAATTTCTAGTTTTAGTTTTTTGAGGCATCTCCATGTTGATTTCCATAGTAGATGTATTATTTCACAGTCCCACTAAGAGTACAGAACTGTTGTTTTTTAATACAGCCTCAAATAATTTGTCATTATTTGATTTCTTGATGAAACAGGGGAATAATGAGATCTGTTTTAATTTACATTTCTGTTATGGCCACTAATGTTGGACATTTCTTCATGTATTTATTGGCCATTTGTACTTCTAAGAAGTGTCTATTCATTGAACTTGCCCATTTTTTATTGGTTGACATTTTATGTACGATCATTTCATATAAAGTCAATTTATCTAAGCTACCTTAATTTCTCTCACACACACACACACACACACACACACACACACACACATACACGAGCCTCATATGGTTTTGGTTAGGGTTTTCCCTAAGAGAAATCTGTAGAAAATATGAAACAGAGACCAGGATCACAACAGCTCCTCTGTGGGAGATCTCTGCCTCAATATCTCTGTGGCTGGCCTGTGTCATACAGTGGGTTCTCTGGAAAAGGTGCCAGTTCATTCTGAAAATCATCCATGTCTTTAAGGTTGGATGTAAAGAAAGATATAAAGTTCCAGTTTGTCTTTGTACTCCCCCAGTCAGAGCATCTTTCTTTCCCATTTCATAGTTCTGTTGACACAAAGTCAGCATCGCATAGAGAAACGAGAGCCTTTTGCTAACTTCTCAGCTGGTTCCTGCAATTGAATAAATCTGTTCTACAGCACTCATGATGGGGTGCTTCACTTATGAAACCATGACTGGTAGTATATTTGAGACTCCTTCAATGTTCCATTATACTACTGAGTAAGATGTTGCAGTTTACATCATGTGTGTTCTGCATATTTCTTGATGGGATTGCTCACAGCTATTTTTATGTGTTCTTTTGATATTGGGAGTGGGATCCTTTGTTTTTCTTATCATAGCTTCCAACAAGTAAACTTAAAGAAATTGTTCATTCTTTACCTAATTTACATTGTATATAAAGCATTGCAGCCACGCTCTTATTGCTTCTAAAAATTTTTCAGGCACTTTTTACACTACTTAAGAAAGGAGATAGTCTGGAAACACAGTGCTGTATGTCCTTTTAGTGCTGCATATGACTCACCTGTCCCATTAACAATCCCTCTGGTTCCCCTCCAGTTATTCCCTCCTTCCCACCAGGAACTGTCTCTCTCCCTTCTTTTTTCTTGAGCAAAAACTTTGATCTTTGCTCAGCTAACTTTCGGAAAATGGTGCTATGAAACTCTTCCATCATACTATATATTGTTGAAAAGAAAAATAAAACTGCTCTCTGAACTCTCAATTTCTCCCACTTTTATTACAGCTCTTGGGATTGGTTAATCAGTTCAACCCACAAAATAAAGCTCTTATTTTTTTCTCCAGCCAGTGATAATCAGATCAAATTGCAGACTTGAAGTGTAAATGACCCAGAATCTGAATGAACTTACCCCTGGTGAAATTTCAGCCCCAAAGAAAACTGGGTCTGACTTCACTCTCAAAATCCAGCAGGGAGCCAACAGAAAGGAAGAAAGCTGAAAGAGAGAGGACCAAGATTAAATAAGCAAATCATGAACTGTTAAGGAAAAGAATAATTTCCCCAGTCCATGAGGCTATTAAAAATGCAGTTCTTAATGACCAGAACATAACATCATTGCTTACATAAAGAGGACCATTCTTCATCCACAGCTCTTAGCTGAATCACTGGTATTTAACCCACAACACAAATCATACTTTAAAATGCTATAAGTAAAAAAAAGAATGAATAAATAGTTTTGCTGAACAAAAATACTGTGCTTTCCTCTAAAATAAATGGAAGCAAAAAGCTTTCTGTTCACTGGAACTTTGAGCCAAATCGTGTCCACCATCTGTTACTGTACAGGCTATAGGCTAAAAATATTTTTGTATTTTTAAACCATGTGAGTAATCAAATGAGTAATATTTTATGATATATGTAAATTATGTGAAGTTTAAATTCAGTGTTCATAAAATGTTTTATTAGAACACACACATCGCTACGCATCTGTTTACACATTGTATATGTCTTGTTTCACATTACAAGTTCAGTAGTTGCAAGAGTGTGGCCTAAAATGCTTACTATCCTTTTTTTTTTTCTTGTTTATTAGTACATGTTTGCAGTATGTAATGATTATATTCCTGGTAGGGAGATGGTACGTGCGTGCACATAACACATCTTAATTCTTTTTTCATTCCCAATCCCTCTCATCTCCCCCACTCTATCTTTTGATTCCCCTTCCCCTTTGAAAAAGATCTATTTCCCTACTTCCTTCTTTTGGTATTTCACTATTTCCATTCTTTTGCTGTTTAAAATTGTTACATGTTTGTAGTGTATGCTTCCATTCCTTGTGGAGAATTGGTACATATAGATAACCCCCCATCCATCTCGATTCCTTGTTCTTTTTTGTATGTTTGCAGTATATAATGTTTACGTTCCTCGTATGGAGTTGGCTCATGTTCACATCTTCACTCCTTTTTTCTTCCCTTTTCTCCTCCCTCCACCTCTTGACCCCCTTCCCCTTTTAGAAAGGTCTACTTCCCTACGTCCTACTGTCTGACTTTTATTTTGCTCTTTATCTATATTTTGGGTTTTTCATATAAGAGAAATCATATGAAAAAGCTTGTATGTCTGATAAAAACATGATGGTCTCAAGGAGCATCCATTTTCCTAAAAATGACAAAGGAAGTTTGCTGATCCTTGGGTAAACCAAAATTTCTCAATGTTAGCACTACAGATACATTTTGCCACCCCTACCTGTTCCACTCTCTCACTCACCCTTATCAAAAATGTCTTCAGACATTGTTAGCCTTCTCTTGTGGAGCAAAATCCCTCCTGGTTGAAGCTATATGGATGATTTAGGTTGCTACAGGATAAGAAAGGCAAGGGGTAGGGTATGAGAAAAGAGGAGAGGCAAGTGAAAAAAAATTACCATATTTTTTCTGAGATTTTAAAATGCTATTTTTAATTCCAAAACTTACCAAATATGAAATATATAGTGGCATTAAGAAATAAAGCACACATAATTTGAAGTATGAAGGGATCATAAAGTAACTTCTGATTTCAACTTCAGCCTTCTCTTTAGCAGCCCCACTAAGTAAAATGCAGCACCTTCTACTTGTAAAGATTTCTATAACGTGGGTTTTCTGACAAACTCTCAATGGAATTCTGAGAAGCTTAATACATTTATTTTGTTACAGACCTTGGGCCTTATTTCTTTAGTTTCCAGAAAGCTCTCTGCTGAAATGTTTCCTCAGAAAGCAGGGAATTCATCCTGGAGAAGAACTTTTCCCCCACAGAGTTCTTTTCGATTTAACCTTGTTGAAACCTTCCTGAACTCAGGCTTTTTGACTTTATACTTGTGATGACCTGAAAAACTAGTTTGCCAACTGTGTCTAGGAATCCTATCTTGAGTTTATCTGTGAGTCTCACAAGTCTGGCATGCCTAGAAGTTGTGGGGTATGTTAAGTAACAGTTTTAAGCCTCAGGGCTAAAGCCTCCTGAGGAGAATTTGTCCAGAGGGACAAATGTACCATATACATGGGCTTAGCTCAAAACACCTGATTTGAGTACAGTGAGCTATCTCTTATGCATGTGTATCTCCAGGCCACTAGAATCATACCACTAAAATAAAGCTGGAAGAGCAATTGCCTCTAAACACTGTAAGGCATGAGTTAATTTCTACCTACAGAAGAAATGTAAAGAAACAATTTTCACCTTTTTCTGGGGTTTTCATTTTGTTAATTTAATTGTTCAAAATCACATCCATGAATAGTTCTGAAGTGTCATCAGATGTCACTAAGTGCAAGAAGGCTACGATATCCTCATGGAGAAAATACATGTGTAAGTGTTACATTTAGCATTGTTGGACATGAGCTCATTGTTAATATATCGGCAAGATTTTTTTTTTCTTTTTTTTGGTACTGGGGATTGAATTTGGGAACTTGCACTTGTGAGCCAGGCAGCAGAACCACTGAACTAAATTCCCAGCCCAAGAAGATATTCTAAATAAGTTACCTTTAAATGGAAATCCACATAAAGCAAAATTCTATATTTATCAGCTGACATAATCATTGCAACCAGTAACTTTTAGGATGCTAACATTTTATTTCTTCCTGGATTTACAGTTCAATATTAGCTAATTCAGTACTCTTGATGATGTCAGAGAACATAACCACCTAGTATAATAAGCACCAGCTATATATATTCACTCAGAAAAATAAAGTATATTGAGAAAAAATAATCACCAAGCTGGATTTTAAAAACATTGGTTAGTGACATATGGACAATAAAATATTTTATTCAAATTGAAAAAAATCATTTGTTGCTTACCAATTTTCTATAAATTTGCACTTTACAAAATCTTTGATTTCAAAAGAAAGTCAAAGTTACAATCACCTAAAGCATCAGATGAGGTGTAATGGTTTAGATATAGGGGGTGGAGCCTCCTTGGAAGAGGTGGGTCACTGGGGGAGTGACCTGGATGATATATCTCCTGCCTCACCTGCGTGCTTCACTATTTGATTCCTGGCTGTCATAGGATGAGCAGCTTTCCTTCACTGTCCTCCTCTGATATGTGATTTTTGCCTTGCAGCCAGCCAGCTATGGACAAAAAACTATGAGGAAAAATAAACTTTCCCCCCTTTAAGTTCTAGGCATTGCATATTGTGTCCAATGATGGGAAAGTGGCTAAGCCACATTTTAGTACCAGAAAAGTGAGGTTGTTGCTGTGACTGTACCTGACCATGGGATTCAGAAATCTTTGGAAGTGGTTTGTAGGAGGAGTTTGAAAACATTTGGAGATGTCAGCTAAAGACCTGGAATGCTGTAAGTCAAGCTTGATGGGAGCATCAGGTCAATGCTCAGAAGACCAGAATGCTGATAGAAATTCAGACGGTAGACTTCAGTTGGGAACAAGGACTGCATAGGCAGCTGGACTAAAAGCTCTGTATATTGTGTTCTGGCAGAAAATTTGTCAACATTTTGATCATGTCCTGAGACTTTGCAGGAGACAAGATTAAGAGCAGCAGATTAATTAATTTGGCAGAGGAAATTTGAAGGCAGTAGCATAGGCATTCTTATATACTTTTAGCAAGATTTATAGGAAAATCAAGAGCAAATAACATAGCTGAATAATTTTAAAAGTTTGCAATTTCAATAGAATGAAAGTGTCTGAAAAATTGGGGCAAAGAATAGCAAAGTATGGTCCCTTTGGAACTGTCTCCATTCATACACAATAACTGCTAAGGCCTAGGAAATTAAGTGATAATGACATCTGCCAGTGAGGAGCTGTCCTAAGCATGGCTCCACGAAGCAGGGCTCCATTAGGGGACTGGAACCTGGACAGAGAACAGGTACAATTCCTGGTCCCTTGACTGATTGTCTGGTTCTTTTTGAGCCTTTATTTTTCTTTTCTTTATATAATGGAGATAACAATAGTATCAATCTCATAGCTTTGTTTAGGGGATTAGGTTAGGAAGATATACAACTCCTAGAACAGTATTTTAAGAACTCCCTGTGTTTTTAACAAGTAAGACAGAAACTGAAACCATAGCCAGTGGAACCTGACTATTCAGCTGAATGAAAATGCCCCCATTACACAAAATTTGTGGTCTAATGATGCTTTTTATAGCACTAGGAGCTGCTATGTTCACTAAATTATTTTGCAATTAGAAATATGAATAAGTACCACTTTGCAGTATGCAGTTATATTCACATGTTCGATGATTTTATAACTATCAAATATGTATTGGACACAATCTATAAGTGTAGATTAAAAATAAAAATGTTAGTTTTTTTTTTAAAAAAGGTACTGACTGTTGAATTCTTTTATGCCACTCACAGTAGGTTTATTTAATATGAGACCCAAAAGAGCTCAGAAAGTGGGGAATTGTGATCTCTATAAAGTTAACATAATGTGTAGTCTAAAACTAAACTAAGTGGGTGCAAGGTAGGGGTGTAGTTCAGTGGTAGATATCCTGGGTCCAATCACTACCCAGCACAAAAAGAAAAGAAAAGAAAAAAGGAAGCTTGGTAGGTTTTATTTCAAATAGTTATTTGGTTTGGAAAAAGCAAGACATAAATTAATGACCCAGTATGAATATGGTGTTTTTATAAGGGAGGCATTTTTCACTTTCATTTGCAATGGATGCTCTCATTCTCAACAGTTAATAATTATTCAAATCTTATTCATATTATCTTTTATTTCAATTATCAACTCCCTTAAATATAATACTATCTACTTATATGTCTGTGAAAATGTGCAGAAAATAACTCAGAAAGTAGACATTATTCTTCGCTGTTCTTAGAGCTTCAGCCAGTAAAGATCTGACCCAAACCAACAAGGAATATAAATTTGAAGGGTAGAGAATAAAAAAGCATTATATGATACGTATTTTGGGGATTTCCCTGACATGTTTTTCCAAAAAACACTTTATTTGTATAAATTCATTAAAATTAGAAAAGTCTTCGTTAAAGTTTGGATAGGAAATATTTCTGATTTTGAATACTTGTTCTAAACACCTTGGTGTATACAAAATGGCCTTCTCTTTGGGAAAACTGGGGAGCAAAAGGTTCCAAATAGCGTCTTAAATATAAACATGTTTAGAAAGATGCTGATGCAGCAGAGTATAGCTCTAAGGTCCAGAGCAGTGGGAGTATGCTGAACCAGGCCACAGGTCACTTCTTCCACAACCTCAGGGAACCCATGCGTTGCTCGTGTCCAATGGGATGACAGTCAGGCTCATGGGAATGGCCTGGGAAGTGTTCCTTCAAAGGAGACAAATAGTCTTCAAAAGCACTTTCCCTGCAGCTTTGAATTAATTTACAGAAATAGAGAAGGAGTAAGGTCCTGCTATGGTTTATATCTAGATGTTCCCTAAAGCCTCACACACTCATAAGCAAGTCTTTGGAAAGTGACTGGATTACGGGGATTTATGGCTGAATTTCTGTGGAGAGGTGAGACCTAGATAGAAGAGAGGGGTCACAGGAGGAAGGCCTGGGTTCCCTCCTGAGCTCCTCCCTTCACTCTCTCTGTTTCCTGTCCACCACGTAGACCATATTGTGAGCTGCTCTCTTCTGCCATGCACCTCTGCTATTCAGTCCTGCCTTGGAACCAGCTGACTATGGACTGTAACCTTGAGACAAAATAAAGCTCCCCTCTAATTTGAGGGCATGAGGCACTGTGTCTGAGCAACAAGGAAAGTGATCAAGACATGCTTTAAGTGAATTCCTTGCTAGCATTTTATAAAGCATATAGGAAGTTTACCCTATGTACCCAGGTGTACAAGAATATCGTTTCTCTATGCCATGATCTGTCACACCTGTTGGGAAAATCAATATCAAGATTATTACACCCTTTTACCAGGTCATGGTATGGTCCTGGCAATCTTATGCACAGAAGAACATTTTAAAGGTTGGAGAAATGTTTAAGAATTTGGTCCCACTTTGTTACATGCAAACCTACATGGTTCCTTCAAATCAGAGGAACTGTTCTTTCTTGAGGTGGATATAAGATTCTGATAGCAAGTCCATTATCTGTCATCTTTCCCAAGGCATCCAGAAGACCCCAGATCTCTGACCCCTTCCTAATCTGGGGATATTGTTTCTCTTTATGCTGGTGTTAAGGGCACCTCTGGAGCACTCTCAGATTTACCTAGATCACAGTATCTCGGTGTGATCTCAAGATCAGAGGCATCAGAAACACCCGAGAGCTTGTTATAAACGTAAATTATCAAGCCCTGCACTTGACCGAAAAACCATAATTTCTAAAGTAAGGGCCTAAGAATAAGAATTTGAACAAAACCTTCATGTAATTCTATGCAAGTTTAAATTTGAAGAAACAATCCAACCATTTTAGATTTTTGA